ACCATTGGTTTCTTTGTGAGGAGGTGGTGGGGGAGAAAAGATCCTGCCACTATGAGTCATGTTATGTGTTCCTGTAATGTTGCTAATATTCTTGTCAACTACTGGGGGACACTCATATTTCTTCCCAAGAATATATACCACATTATACTCCCACGGAACTGCTTTTGAGTTGTTACATAGAGGAGGGATAAGAATTTGAGTTGCCGCGGGGGTAACTGGAGCTTGAATCATTAGTGGGGTAGTAGGTGCCTGAATTTTCAACGGGGTGCCTGGGGTTACTGAGACGCTTCTAGGATAATAAGGAATTTCTAAGACATCAATCTCTTCTTCTTGAAATATCTTCTCTACCTGTACGACACCTTCATCCATATGTTATTGGATAGCTGTCTTCAAACTAGTACACTCTTCAGGTTTAGAGGAACATGTTAAGCAAAAATAATGGAGTTCCTACAGGACCTCATGCTACAACAAATGTTCTATAACAATTCCTAATGACATCTTGATCTCGTCAACCTTGGTTACCAGAGTCTGCTCACTACTTTCTTCAATAGCATTGACCGCTTCCTCTGGGTGAGGAGGCATGGGATTATTCTGAGTATTGGGACCAACAGGGTTGGAACTTATGGCCTTGGCATCGAGGAGGTCTTGAACTTTACATTTAAATGCTCTACAATTATCAATCGTGTGGCCTGAGGCTCCAGGATGAAATTCACAATGAGCATTAATATCATATCCCCTGGGGATAGGATTTGGTGGTGGACCAAGTTCACGCAGTTGAACCAACTGATTGGAAAGTAGTTAATGGAGAAGCTAAGCATATGACATAGGAATGGGATCAAATCTTCTTTCATACGCTCTTTGTCTCTGTTGAGCTCTCGGACCTTTAGGTTGTTGATTCTGTTGTTGATAATTCAGAGGTGGTGCAAATTGTTGTTGTGGAAGATACAGTGGTTGAGGAGCGAAAGGCTTTTGTTAGGCAATCCAGGGTGTCGGAGTTGTAGTTGCATACACTTAAGGAACATACTGATTAGGAACACCAGCAAGTTTTAGGAAATACAGAAATCGAACTTGAGGATATGCAGGAGCTTTTCCTTGGTTGATTGTGACAACACTAGTCTCAGCTTCTTTCTTCTTAACGAAACCAGAAAATGGCTTCCTACAAATGCCAATATTTTTGTTGGTATTGTTAGGTATACCTTGGATCGTTTCATCCTTAATACAAGTTTCAACATGTTCTCCAATAATGACCATATCAGAGAAAGAAGTAGAGGTACTGCTGAGCATGTGTTGGAGATAAGGACCTCGTAAAGTACCCATGAATAAATCAACCAGTTCACGATTCAAGAGAGGAGGCTGGACTCTTGCAGTCAGTTCACGCCACCTTTTGGTGTACTCTTTAAAAGACTCTTCAGTTTTTTGTATCATCCCTTAAAGTTGAGTGTGGCTAGGAGTCATGGCAGTATATAATGGTAATGTTTCAAAAAGGCGTTAGCAAGCTCTCCCCAAGTACTGACATGAGTTCTTTTTAGTTGCATATACCAGTCCACCGGTCCCCCGATCAAGCTATCTTGGAATAAGTGCATGAGTAACAGTTCATTTTCAGAATAGGCTTCCATCTTGCGACAATAGGAACGAAGACGAGTCTCTGGGCAGGAGGTGCCTTTGTATTTGTCAAAATCAAGAACCTTAAATTTAGGAGGGATAACTTCCCCAGGCACGAGACACATTGCAGTAGTATTGAATCCCAAAGTCTTGATACCCTCCATGGCTTTGAGACGCTCTTCAAGAGCATGATACATTTTTGTAGTTTCTGGAACTCCAGCAGCGAGATTCACGTGGGGCTCATCAAGATCAATGACACCGTAATGATCATTAACATCATTGCGAGGAACACCAGTAGGGGTCTCAACATTTTCATTATTATTCCCTCCATTTGCATAAGTGGAGGGAGCTGCAGTGGCGAGCTTGGCAACACTTTGATGTAGCTCTTCTTGACCCTTGATAACAGCATGAATGGTTTCCATAAGCTGATCCATTCGAGTGTCCATGGTGTCGATATCTTAGAAGAGAGCGTTCTGATTTTCTTTGAAAAGATCCATAAATCTTTGCTGGTTTCTTCTTATACGGTAGGGATGTAGAGAAGTCGTATTTGTTGTTCACTTAAGTCTGATGGAAAAGGGACCGTAATAAGTTTTTGTTGTGTATAATGAATTCATGATAGTATGAATGAATATTTTATCTTCATTTCTGAGGAAATCTAAATACTCGTTTATCTTTTAAAATTTTTGTTTTCATTTTTGAAGAGCTCGACCAATGAGACTTGTCTTTGGAATTCCTTAGATATGAGATGTATATACATGATGGTATGATGTCATGGTATGCTATGGCATGAGATTTCAGCTCAACATGTTTTGGATAATTATTGTGTAGTCCTTTGCATAAGCTGAAAGTAACAGGATCAAACGTATGACGTCACAAGCATGAAGTGAAAGTAACCATCCATAAGGTATGTACTAGGGGTTTATCACCTATCGAACAAGGTTCCAGGGAAACCTCTGAGTCTATGCTCTTCCTTTAGATATTACCGACGTCGCAATTATTTGGTAATCAGTAATATTCTAAAGAAAAACTCATCCGAGTGCGCATCACGTGACAACTACTTCCAGATTTCTCTATTATAGTCTCCACACTACACCTAAAAATGCCAGGATGGGTTAATGGTTCTACGGCTCTCAGATACTCTGGATCCCAAGTCGAAAGCAACATTGTCTTCTGGATTACTCAGTAAACAATGCTACATTTAAGGGTGCCTTCACTGAGTGGGGGATATCATGCCTCATTCTTCGGGATTACTCCCTCAAAGTTAGCATGACTATATTGCTCCTCTTAATCCTAAGTGTAACTCCAAGTCCGGGTATATGACGTATCAAATGTAATCATGCAACCCAGCATCACAAAAGATACAACATATCCAGAATATGTGAGTAGCAATAGTATAATGCAATATATACAAAAGAAAATAAAGTGGTAAAGAAAATAAAGCAAATAAGTAAACACCCAAAGATAAAAATAAACAAAACTAGGATAAACTTGCAAAGGTCCCTAGCAGAGTCGCCAACTGAAGCTATCGACAAAAAACAGAGCCGCCACCGAACTTTATTTATCTCGAAGGAAGGGGAAATATCGAGAAAACCACAAGAGGATGGATAAGATGGTCTTGCAACCAATAGAGAGGGTAAGGAAGTCGATTATGAAAGGAGAAGGTATTAGCACCCCTCACATCCGTTGTACTCAACGGGATCCATTTTGTTTGTTTGCTTCTAAGGTTGTGTTTATCTATTACTATACTTGCAAATAGGAAATAAATGGTTTTTTATTAGTGCGTTCGTGAGGGTCTCACAACCCTTTGCCTACATATCTAGTGAAGGAATCAGATAACCGTAGTTCCTCTCAAAAATGTTGATTTGTTGGTGTTTTTTAGTGGGCGACGTTAACGCACACATTCTAACAATAGGCATAACTTGTATCGCGGTAGAATGAAGATAACATGCCCTTTTGGGGTTTTTGATTTATTGATTGTTTTTGCTAGTTTTAATGAGTTTGAATAACGATTAAATTTTTTTGAATTTTTGATTTGTGAATGAGAAATTTTAATTACAAAAGAAGAAAAAGTTTAAGAGGGAGACTAGAAGAACCCTAATTGTTGTTATGTACAAAGATTGACCTAATATTGAGTATTTCAAAGGGAACTTTTATCCTAAAATGTTATCATGTATGGATTAATCCTAATGCCTAACTTGACATTTAAATGATCAAACCTAAATTAAACGTTTATTGGATTTTCTTGAAGGAACGTATCAAGAATCAACCAAAACAAATAGCAAAAGAAAATACTACTAATATTTTTTTTGAGAATTTTATCATGTTAAGATACTAAACAATCATGAAGAGATATCACACAAAATTGCTTTTAAAAATGTAAAAACAAGCAAGAAAAAGAAAGAAAATGAAAATAAAGGCTTGGGGGGTGTCCATCCAGAATCCGAGTGGCTTGCAATATAGCCTGGGCGCAAGGCCCAACAGAATGGTCCAAAACCATTTTTTTATTATGATTACTTGAATTAAATAAAATTTGAAGAAAGAAACAATCAGAAGGCTTGTTAGGGTTCACACTGAGGAATTTCCACGAGAAACCCATCCCTCTCATCTTCTTCACAGTGTCGCTAACCCTCATCCTTCTTCAGTCTCACACCCTTACTTACCATTTTGTCGATGTCTTGAACCCACCTTCTTCTTCATCAACAAACATTAACTCAGCACCATGGCCAAATTAACACACACCATCGCAAACTTTCACACCCTGTCCTCCTCACATCTTTGCAAGTTTTTGAACCACAATGCACCTATCAGAATTCATCTTGTGCGAAATTAATTGTGAATTCGTTGAGAAAACCAGAGGAAGAGAGGTAAGCATTCTTGAATATTTTCTTATCCAAGCTACTGTTTATTATATGCGTTGCTTATTTGAATTATAAGTTCTATTTATTGCAGTGGGAGTAGTGTTATGGGTCTGAGCTAGGAATGATATCAAATTTATGATCTTTGATGGAGACTTGACATGGAAACGGTAATTTTGCAAGGCTGCATCTGGAAACTCTAGAGTAGTTCCAAAGTTGGGACATAATGGTTGCACTTGTGGAATGCAAAGGGTGATTGTTTACAGATCCATGGAAGTTTTAGTTAAGGGGAAAGTTAAAGTCAGTAGTGTGTTGCACTAGGGCTAAGGTGTGTTTAGTATAGGTGGTGAAGGTTTAAGAAGAATTTTTTTTCTATTCCTTGATTCATGTTCAACAATAATAATAATATGCTTTTGATAATTATTGTTAACCAAACAGTAATAATGGTTTCAGGGTTTTCCAGATAACAACAACAAAGTTCAGATTTCAAGCAATATCAACTATAATGTCACAGATTCCACAAATTCATGAGACAAAATCATTATGTTCATCAAATGCAAATTATGCAAAAACATGAAAGAAATAAAACGTGGATTCGAAGCAGAGATACATAGAAAACCAGATATGAGGTAGTATTCGATCTGCTTCACTCTTTTTCTTTCTTTTTCTCCATAAAATTTAATTTGCTTCTGGTTTATAGTGGTGTTTGGTCAGAGGAATTGTCAATGTTGTTGCGTTTTGCAAGGAATTTGAAGTTTGAGGATGAAGGTTGAAGAGGTGCAGGTTGATGAAGGAAATAGGATGAGGTTTTGGAAAGATATTTTGCAGGGCACTGGTGAGGTTTTTTTATGGAAACTTGTTGCTGAGTTGATGTTAAGTTTAGCAGAGAGAGGCCGAGTTGGGTAAGGTTTTTGAGGTGTATTGGTCACTATTTGAGCAGAGGTTTTTAGAGGGAGTTCTTGGTGTCCCTTATCTATGAGTTTTTTGTGTTTTCTACTGTCTTTCTTATCCTTTTACTCTCTAATTCCTTGTTGTATTTATAGGTGGATTTGAGGGATTTTTTGGGGGAAGTTTGGGTCCATTTGAACAATTCTGGTATGCTGCTTAGTTCCTTTTCTAATGCTGTTTGGTTTTGCTAATTTACTGTAATTTTGAACTGCTTTTGTACAGGTTTTGGAGTGATGTGGTCAACAGGTTTAGGGATAACATCAGGGTTGTTTGGGCAGCAATGTTTGGACAAAATTGCAGCAGATTGATGCAGTTTTGTTCTTACCATTTTGAGTAATTATTAGATCAGTTTGTTACAACAAGTTTCGAACTGTTTTATGTAGGCTTTTGTGAAGGTTTGGAAAATATTTTGGCATGTTCTGTTTGGCTTTGTGGACAGGTTATGCAGAGGCTAATTTGGGATAGCAACATAGCACAAATTATGCATGGCTATTTGCACAGACTTTTGGACTGTTTATGCTTTGGTGATGCCTTTCTAATCCTAGTCTCTTTTTTCTTTTTTCTGTCTGTGACTCAGAGTTGTTCTTCTTCTTTTCTCATATAGTTCTGAAGGGTTTGTGCTTTTAGGAAAATTATAAACAAAACTTAGAGTTTTGGGACTGTTTTGGCTTGTTGTATTTGACGTTACAGCCAAACAAATTGTTAGCAGCAAGGCTGAGTTTTTGGCAATGCTTTTTGGTTGACTTTGTTGCTGCAGTAACTTGTTTTTGAATCTTTTTTCTGATTTGTTATACTTGAGATTTGCATATGTTATTGTATGTTGGGGCTGGAAATGTAACTTTTGTTTGCATTCGATTTTACTACGGGGACTTTCTTTTTTTCTTTTATTGTGAACCAAAATAACCTTTTGTGATTTGCAATAGGAGATAAGGCCCATGACTTGAAATGCGCTTATGAATTTTGTTGTGAAATATATTCAATATGAGGGTTTGGATTGGATTTATTGTATGATTGAAAACAACCTTCGTTTCTGATTCCTTCATAAACGCTAATGATGATATTAGAAGAACACTTCGCTTGCAAACTTCTTGTTCAAATTATGATTGAACTAACCAATTTTCTTGTTTGTTTTTTCATGTGAGGGTTGATGGAAGGTGAAGAAGGCAAGGCAAGGAAAGTTTGAAGAAGGAACTGTGGCTTAGCATGAAACTTGGAAGGGAGTTTAAAGAAGATGAAGATCCTATAGAATACATTAAATGTATTTACAAACTTCTTTTTGTCTTGTAAAGCAAATTTGAGTGCACTTGTAAATGATGAGTGATAACACATTAATTGTATTTACAAACTTTCTCGAATCTTGATGAATGGTGCCTCACTTTGAATGAACCTTGATGGAATTTACATGCTTGGTAATTTGAGCTTGAATATATTGAAGGCTTGGATGAATTTATGGCTTACGAATAAGTTTGGAACAATTTTGACAACTTTGAAACATCATGCCTAAAAATGGGATTTGATGAATACTTGGATGAAATTTGAATGATCGACAATGACGAATTAAATAGACTTAATGAAACTTGAATAAGTCTTGTAATTTTGTGGATATTTAAATGATGAATGACCTTTGAAATTTAAATCCACACGAACTTTGTACTCTTACATGCTTGAATTGATTTTTATATCTTTGTCTTGATTCATGTTGAATAACGTCTTTGAATCTTGACCATAACTTGCATTTCCATCTCAACAACAACTCACACTACAAGCAAAGAAGACTTGATAGAGCGATGATGTCTTGTTTGGACGAGCAACAAAATTATAAACGCTTTGAATGCATATTCATGACGAATATTTGATTTGAAGTGCAGAAGAATATATCTGATGAACATTAGTTGATGAATTAACAACCTCAAACACCATGGCTAAGACCTTGCTCCTCTTGCCTTAGATGAGTATTATATGAAGAAGCATATTGTCATCAAAACCCTAATTCAACATGATCTCAAATGAAACGGACTTAGAATGCCTGGGTACGGAGGAAGGAATACACTTGATCTTGAGTTGTCTTTGAAGAAGATGAAAGAAATATTTCATAATAACCATATATCCAAAACCCTAGTCTCTTGACAAACAATAGGGAAGTAAACCATAATCCAAGATCTGATGATTTGAATGAGAAATTGCCGCATAAATTGATGAGAAATAATTCCATGATATCCAAAATTCAAAAACCTAATTCTACATAGTCCACTGCTTAAGAACCAAATGAAACTGCCTTTAACTGATGAAGGAACCTCAAAACCAAGATGAAAGCCTAGTCTTGCACAAATACCACTTCTTGAACCAAAGTGCTTTATTAAATTAAATGCATGATATGCAAATGAACTAGTGAAGATGATGTATATGAAATGCGAAGTCTAATACAAACAAAAGTAAAAGGTGGGACAAATTTGGGGTATGACAATGATTAGAGGAGCAACTTTGGGATTATCAGTAATCCTTACAGGACCCTTGGAAGTGATCTTGATAGGAGTGCCAGAAATTACAGATAAGTCCTGAAAAAGATTCTCAGTAGACAAAATCTTCTCAACCAGAATTATATGATTGTCCATTAGGCGTTGGATGCCTTCTTTCAGTAACTTGCAGCCGTTGAGTTGGGATGCGAAGCAGTAACATCTTTCAATACAACCCGAAAACTACACGGAATGCAATAGATTATTCTTAAGAATTGGGAGGGGAGTAGCCAATTCACTTACAGTAGAGATATACAAAACATCATCAATAACACTTATTCCTTTTTCATGCTTCAACATTGGTGTAGTAATTACATTGGGATTCTCAGGTGAATCAAACTTAATCTCTTTGTTGTCAATCATATCCTAAATTTTGTTTTTCATGGCCCAACAGTTATTTCTATCGTGCCCAAGACTATTGGAATGGTAAGCGCACTTCGCATTTAGATTGTATTGAGGAGAGGAGGTGTTGGGATTTCGAGGAGGCTCCCTTATTGTTATCAGCTCTGCCTTCAATAAGTGTTGTAATTCCTGGGATAACGGCATGCTGATCTTTGTAAATTGTCTTCTCGGAGCGTCTGACATGCACTGATTGTTTTGATGTTGTTGCTATACAGGCGTAGGACTAGAGATTAACATCACTCCTACTGACTGATTACAGTCACTTCTAGTACAACCCTTCTGGCCATAAACATCATTTGTTTCCTTCTTACCGTTGAACGTCTTCTTTACAACACTCGAAGACGCTGCCACTAGAATCTTTCCACTCTTGATACAACTTTCGACATGTTCCCCGGTTAGAATCAGCTCAATAAAACCAGATGAAGAGCTCCCAATTAGATGATTAAAGAGAGGACCTGTTAGAGTCCCCATGAACATATCAACCAGCTCCCTATCAAATAGAGGAGGTTGAACTCTTCCAGCCATATTTCTCCACTTTGGGCATACTCTTTAAATCCTTCATTCGAGCCCATACACATACTTTGTAGTTGCACTGTATTGTACCCCAAAATTTTTTCTCTCACTTATCAAGAATTTTCTCACAAGATCTCCTTTAGATCAAGAGTGCATTAGGGTTGATCAACTCAAGACACCTCCTCAAGCACTGATGACTGAAAATTAGGGTTTGAGATTGCACAAGGATTTATGAACTTCCAATGCCCCATATGACTTTCATGGATCATTATGTACCCCTAAGATTACTCATGTCAAGTTTCAAGCCTTGGATCACACTTTTGATCAGTCAATCGAACAGTTGACCTAAAAATCAGTTGTATTAGGGAAAAAGTCAACCATAGCTAATTTACAGTCAAACCCCATAATTCTTTAGCCACATCAACATTTTAAACTCATATGTATCATTTGATCAAGTTTGGACCATAATACCGCAAGAAATTTGACCAAATCTCCAAAAGGGCAAAATGGTCAAAATAAGGGTTTTGACTGGGAAAGGACAATTTCTGATTTTTTACTTAGCAATTGATCAATTGGTTTAAGGAATGATATCAAGAGTCCAATTTCATAATTTTTAACTAATGATAGGGTTCAAAACATTGCAAGTCCATTGGATTGACAGATGAGTTTTGCAGTCAATTGATCAAAAGTCAACTGTATACTGAAAAGTCAAACTTTGACTTTTTAGTCAAATCCAAGTGCCAAAGATCATAATTCATCAAAACATGTCAAAATATGAAACTTATTCATCAAGAAATCAAAAAGTCAAGATTTCATTTTGAAAAGTCAAAATTTCTAAACTTAGAAATTTTTCCAAGTGTTGGGAATTTCATGTTTTTTCATAACTTTGAGCCAAATTTTCACTATAATATTTCTTTGCAGGCCTCCTAACTTGTGTATCTATCCATGATTAATGGATTACACAAACTTTTAAACTTTAATCCAAGTGGTTTAAGCTTTATCCAAGTTTCATTTCCATTAATGGCACAAAGTTAACATTGTCATTCATGTAAAGCAAGCTTTTTGCATAAAGTTCACATTGAGCCTCTAACTTGTTCCCTCTGATCACACTCCATCCACAAATTCAGAAGCAAGCTTGTTTAAAGCATAACCACTCTATCTTAGCAAGTACACAAGGCATTGAAACTTGTTTTCTCAAAAATCACATGTTATGCATAAACATGTAATTTCAAATTCTGATCAACAACAAGTCTCCAAACTTGTGGCTTATAAATAGAAGCACTATTTGTGAGCTAGAGCACGAGATTGAAGACCATTAAACTCACTCAAACTCCCTCTAGCCAAAAAATGTCTCAAAACACCATTGTTGTGCAAATTCTGACTTTACATACCAAACTCCAAATCCCCCCGTGCGTACTTTGGCCTTTCACTTCCAAAAGCTCCTAAACATCAAATACAAACCATCCAAAGTCCATTTGCTCAAATGTAACACCTCCATCATCAAGTTCCATTTTCAAAAACAGGGGTTTGCAACTTGACTTCTTCAGAAGTCCTCAACCACTTTCAGCTTAAGCTAATCATTGCATTAGCTTCCTGGGACCTCAAGGAAGCTAACCTGGTCCTTGCAGCATTTTGAATCAAGCTCATTTGCATTTCATGATTTCCATTTTTGAGGTATTTCACTTGAACTTATATCTCATCATTCAAGCATCATTAATTTGTATTTTGTGAAGGAAAAATGTAGACCTCATTGCCACGAAGGTGTACATATCCATAGTTTGCATTTACATGGCCTGAGCTTAGAGAATTTTAGAGTTGAAGTTTATGATATTTTTAGGTTTCAAATTAGGGCCAGAGAAATTCTCATTTAGATTTGACTTTTAGCTTTAGTTATTTACATGGTTAGATTCATGAGGAAAAATGCAACAACTTTCATTTTGTCATCTTCCATTTTTGTTGAGAAATGAAGAAGTTGCAGGTACACTGGCTGGAGGTTGAAGATGAAGTCATCAGGACTTGATTTTCCTTACATATTTATTGTTTTGTTTATATGAATGGATGTATAGCCACCCCAGTGGTAAAGCGCGCGCTTGTTCACCACATGGTCCTGGGGGCAAGCCCCAGCATGACCATTTTGTTATTTTTACATATTCTGACCCCTTTTTTTGTTTGGCAGGCGCTGGTCCCTTTGGGCTTGGCTCATTTTTTTTTTGCTTATTAACTCCCATCTTGACTTTTGGCACCCCTTGGCCCATTTGTACTTATTTATTTATTTATTTCATTTTTCTTTTTAAATATATTTTCTCTAATATTAAAAATCATAAAAAATACTAAAAAATATTAGATTTTCATTTTGACATAGTTTATTCATTTTTTCTCATAAAAATTGTTTTTTATTTAATAAATACTTTATCCATTTCACTAAATATCTTGTAAATTTAATTAAAATAATAGGTTTTTATTTATTTTCTTTTACACCAATTTAAATATATTATTTTAACATTAAAAA